TAGAAGTGGACCTAAAACCGATCCTTGCGGTACACCTGAAGGTACCATTGACCGAGATGACGATTCGTTTCCTATTTTAACGAACTGATAGCGATTTGACAAGTAAGAATGAAACCAGTCAAAAGCTCTATCACAAACTCCGAAACCCTGCAGTTTAGCAAGAAGAACAGAATGAGGAACACGATCAAAGGCCTTAGACAAATCAAAACTTAAACCAATGCAATGTTGTTTGAACTTCCCTTTCTGGTTAACCCTTAAAAGTCGAAGGGGGTTCTGCTTATGGCAGGAGGGAGCTAACCACAAACATATAGATAATGGGCCCTCAGCATACTCGTACTATAGTAAAAAATAACAATCTTAGTCTTCTTCAAGGACTACCCCATGTCCTTTTGTAGAAATCGGCGCCCTCATAAAAATTCAAAAGATAAGAATCTTGGTTTGAGAATCTGCCCTTAGATAGATTTCATAATGCTTCACACGTCCTGAAATTTTCACTTTAAACAGATGTTTTTTTATCGAGATATTTGATACCCAAGAAAATCGGTCACATTTTGCAAAAATGGCTAAAAACCGACTTTTCTTCGACATTCAGTATGTCGCGAAAGAAACAACCGTTGTTGCTGAGATTTTCAGGATGCTCTAGATATGAGTAAAGCTATGTTTGAGCGAACCTTCAGATTGAAATTCCTAGTTTTTGTTTTTCTATAAGCCTGAAGATCCCATCCATGAAGCATTTCCTTTACATTGGCGTAATCTGTCACTAGATCGGTTAAAAAAAATGAAATACATCCATCAGATAGCTTGACGCTATGTCTAAGGATGCTGCAGAGAAAGAACGAGACTACACGTTCCATTTCTGAATAAATGAAAATCTAAAAAAGAAAAATTATTTCAAAATCATTATCAGCTGTAAAAAATCAACTGATTCGTCTGGCAACCACTTGAAGGTTTTATTTTGATGTCAGTATGACCACCAAGATCATCTCAGCCCAGAAAAATATCCACTTCTGTTTCAAAAGTCTTCTTACGATTTGTACTGCATTTATTCTAATGTCCCTTGGAAGGGACAATCGGCTCTTAAGGGTTAACACTATCAGTCGGTAGTGGGAGCGCAAGAAAACTAATAGAATCATAAGTAGCTGCCACTGTAACACATTCATTACACTGAACGCTTGAAATAATTTGTCCATGAAATAAATATGATATAATAGAAGTTATAATGAACGGTTCGCGTTATATATAATCTGAAACACTTATTATACTAATAAATATTTATTATATTATTGTGAAGAATATGCGACAGCTATATTTAAGAATAGACTAATGCGTGACTTAAAGTTCGTTTTTTTCCACTGCAGTGTTAAAGACTCGACGCTTATACTATGAGAGAGAAACGCTTACTAAGTACCGTCTAATATATCTGTCTCTTTTGCCTGAAGCCTACAAATCAAAACATATGCATTTTTAGTTATAACTTGTCCTTTGTCTATCTTTGTTACTTGAGAATCATTAAAATTATACCATTGTCCACTAGAATTGTTTATAGCATAGGCTGTATAGTGTCCATCAACCAGATTCCCGAAATGATTTGATACAGCAATTAAATCATATTTACTGTCTTTACTATCATATTCAGGATTGACAATAACTTGTAACAAATCTAAATTATGCAAAGGATATTTAACGTAGGTATCAATTTTATCATTCGATTGAAGGTCATAATTAAAACGTTTCAGCTGAATAATTAATATTTTTGGTAATTTCCATAAACCAATTTTCTTCTTGGCATCAACAAGTTGATTACAAAATGAACAAAACCACTGACCATTTTCGCCTAATAGTTCTTCTTCAGTTAATGAATGAATACAATCTTCCAGTGTAATTATTTTTCCTCCGTTAGATGGTAAAGGTAGTGTAAGAAAGCTTATTGAATCATACGTTTTTAGTAGTTCGTTACAGTTTAAATTTAAACATACAACTGTTAATTGTAACTCACCATAAAACAAATCGGATATAATTGATGTAGTATCATCTGTTTCACGTTTTAAATCTTCGTTTAACGTATCTAATAAAATATTTATAAATATCATGTGTATCCTGTTGATTATAATCGTAGAATCGTGACGCTATTAGTCCGATTTGATTTTTCAATACTTTTGGCTGTACAGTAGTATGTTTACCGGACCACATTTTTAAAATCAGTTCACTATAGGCCCGGGCTACTTTACGACCACTTCCTAAGGTGTTTTGAACATTAATTTCTTTGTCTAGACCCTGTTGTGTGAGAATGTGATTGGTAAGATCGGCAACGTGACTCATGCATTGTATTGCACTGTTCATAAAACATGTATTACCGATGTTCTCTAAACCACAGAGACCCAAAATGACAGCGTCAATCTTCTCTTTCGACGATTGTTGTTGCTGTTGTTTGGTAGACTTTTCCTTTAAAGACGGAGATTTAATGTCATCAGTGTTGTTATGCTTTTTTTCTGTGAGGAGCCAGAGTGCTCATCAGTTTGTATTGCTCCATTTCGAGGCAGCGTGATCCCAGCTTCAGGGTCGACTTTTGGAGCAGAATGTTTTCGAGGTGACGGTTCGCGATCAACGTTTTTTTGTGCAAATAACGTAACTGTTGGTGTTTTATTTATACGATCAGGTACCGGATTCTCTATCGACTGGGATTGCGGTCCCACAGAAATTGTATGTACCTCGGGAAGTTGTATCATTTGAGAACTAATAGCACGTTTTAGGAGGGTCTGACCAGAAATTGTCTTTTTTGACGGTGGTTTCCAGTCAAAATGTTCAAAATGACACATTTGACATTGTGGATTTAGAGAAGGCCTTAAATGTTTTTCGCTTATATCTTTGATGTTATTGACGCCTTTCTGGATTGGACGACGTTTAGCTGCTCCAATAACCGGCAAAGTGCTTTCTAAACACGAAGAAGATATGATAAGCAACGGATTAAAAATCCATCGCCAAAACATTTTAGTCACCTTTATTTATTTGCATGATACCAAGTCCTGTTTGATGTATGTCGGGTAAATGCATTGTAGATAGTGTCATAACCTCGGATTGTATAAGAAAGTGAGTTGACATTTGTTGTGTTCGCACGAGTTTCGGCGATGGTGACGGCGTAGGTTGTCGTCGTACTGGTGCATTCCCATCTTCGTGCACTGGTTTACTTGATGCACAAGAAAGATGTGAAAGTATCCATTCGGTAACGTGGTACCTTCGTTCTAAATCAGAATCTTAGTGCTCTGAACCTTTGGCCTAATAACTGCAGCTGATTTTTCTGTGTAAAAGATCAAAAGCCTTTGTTTTTGTTTTCGTCTCTGTTACCATGGTGTGGTTTGTACTACTACTCTTCAGGCTCTAGAATGTAGAATGAACAGTTATTCATAGTGGTTCGTTTTGCAGCAAGACGCGGACGAACCTTTTTGATAGTAATCTGGCAGTTTTATTCGAAGATTTACTTTCGATTGATTTCTCCTGACTAGAACTTCCATTACGTGATGACATTTTGACCAGAAAACTTTTTACTCTCTGTTCATATTTTTAATTCATCTACAAAATAAACAGAAATGTGCTTGTGCATGTTTGTTTTTGAATGACATTAAAATACTTAAAAAAGAAAGAAGAAAAAACAAAATAAACTGTAATAAGAATGTTTATGACATTACTGGTAAGTAGGGCCCTGCGGTGACACCGAACTCCGACGGTGACACCGACTCCGACGGAGTTGGAGGCGGTGTCGGAGGTGACGATCGCAAAATTTTCGAAGTCGGTGTCGGAGTCGGAGACCGTCGAATTGAAG